CTTGGTAAACGTCCAGATGCCAGCCCCACACCAGGTCCTCCTATAAAACCTTTCACAGGACCAAGATCTATGTGTGAAATAGAAATACTGCCTACACCTTGTAACTTGAAAGCTAGCCTGCCTCTTGTCTGGCTCAGACTGATGGTGAAAATCCAAGATTAGCTGCAATGAACAGCCTGGCTGGATGGTTTCTGATACCACGTGCTGGGAAGGAGGTACTTTTGAAAGCTCCCTGCACCCAGCAAGTACTGTGCATGTGCTTCCCACCGAGTCCATCTTCCCCTGTGTGATTTCTACACAGTTTATTTAGCCAGCAGGCAGCAATAAAAAGAAACCCTACAGGATTACCCTGCGTTTGTCTTGCAAGGTGGATCCCTTGAGTTTCCAGGTCTTTGACTCAAGCTTTTAAAGGCTGTCCAGTTTCCTACACAGCCAAAGAGCTTCGGGCTATGTTTGTATCCAGGAAGGCAAGATCTATAAGTAGAGATAACTGTCAGATCAGTTCAATAGCTGGCAAAAACAGTGGTGCTTTTGGACACCTCAGGCTCTCCAAAATCCATCGCGTGATCCAGAGCGAGACGTTGTGCCCGCATCAAGCGTGCTTGGTTTTAGGAATGAGCGGTGGCGATGCCATAGTGACATGAAGCAAGGCTTTGATGCCCATATTACAAAGAATATGCAAACTTGTATTATTCCTTTGATTAGCTGCTCTCTGATATGTCAAGTCCATGAATAATCAAGCCTCATTTTCTAATTAGTTTTACTCATCACCCCGCTGCTCCATGCCTTTGCTCATTTGCATTCCCATTTTCTTGATAAGGGCCTTATTCTGTGAGGTGCCAACAGAGCATCTGTCCCTCTCCCACCACAGCATTTCTTTGGTCCTCTGCTGGCCGTTTCCTTGCTCTCGGCCCCGCTTCCCCTCCAGTGCAACCACCATCTCCTTGCTCTGTGCTTTTCCACTCTTTCTGAGTCCTGTTTCCTCAGGCAAGAGGATGGTTCTCTTCACACACTCTGTCCCTCGGTGGTATCTTTTGGCTCCATAATCCAGTTTTACCCAGCCTCAACAGAGAAGTAAAGCTAGTGAAATCCTGGATTTGCACGGGTCTTAAGGAAGTGGTGGGGGGAGAAGTCCTCCCAGGGCACTGGAGGCCAAGGCTGGAGCATCCGCTCCATCACCTTGAGGAGCCACAATGAGGAGAGTGGTTTTGAATGCTCTGGCCACAAGCCTGTTCAGCCATCAGCCACTCCAGTGAGAGAGGAGAAAAGAAAGTCCGTAAAAGAAAGCTACAGCAGTTGGGCTGGTGGCAGTTGTGTTTGTTATTCTAATTAATATGCTATTTTTGCGTTATGGGAGGCTTTTCTGCAGTTATTTCATTCCCCCCTGCTCCCCCTCCCTTTTTGCACAGGTACTGTAGGAAGCACATTACAAGGAGATTTAGCAAAGCAAAGTTAATGGCTCGTTTGCATTTCTTTTAATCAAGTTATTCTAATTGTGCTGTTGTGCAAATACAGCTTCCCCCCCCCGATTTGAGGAAGACCTACACCCTCCCAGCAGCTGCGGGTGCCCCAGCAGTTGGGGTTACCCTGGCTGGGGCTGCACAGCCCGTTCCTGCCCCCGCCTGCACCCCGCGGGTGCTGGGAGCTGCTCGGGTTGAACCGAATGAAGCCTCGGACCCCCTCAATAAGCTGGAGGCATCAACGCCCGATGCAGGTCAGTGTTACACGCCGGAAGCTCACCTCAAAGCTGACGTGGGTTTTCTTTTTGTTGGGGCCAAGCAGTCACCATTTGCCGGCCAAATGCAGAGGTGAAATTCAGACGGCGTGGAAGCAGGAAACAGACAGGGATGTGATGATCGGTCCCGCACGAAGAGCTAACAATAGTTTCCTAAAGCTGCAAAGATCGATTCGCGGCTCGAGGCACGAGGCGTTGTATTGATCTGTCCCTGGGCAAATACCTGGTGCCTCCGCACACAAGCCCCCGTCTTTCTGGATGTTTCCCTGGGTAAATAAGGGGGGGGTCAGCCCAAGATGAGACCTTGCACCAGCTCAGCTGGACCCTGCCCTTGCATCCGCAGCAGCAGGAAGGGGCTGGGACTGGAGGCGCTGGGGGAAGCTGTGCTGGGGTGGGGGGCAGCTGCTGAAGGGGCAGGGGGCAGTGGGGACCAGCCAGCAGGAGAGGATGCTCGTGGGTGGGAGAGAAGAGGAGCAGTGGCCGTACCCCTCTGCCAGTACAGGCATGGCCTTGCACACACACGGGGAGGTGGGGGGGATCCCTGTGTCAGCAGGGGAAAGCGGGAATGGGGTCTGTGAGTCTGGGGTCTGTGGGGATACCACGAGCCCAGGAAGGCTTTTTCCATCAGCCTTACTCAGTGCTCGGCATTTTTTCTTGACCTCTTAACTTAAACCAGCTGCCACCCCCGCTGCCGAAACTTGGCCGTGCTGTGAAACCTGAACGGCTCCATTTTGCCCTTCTGTTATCTCTTTCGGGGTTATTTTGGTTTCTTTAGTGGCTAAGCAAATGTCTTGTGTCCCTTGATCAAAGTTAGGGAGCATCGTTTACATACCGTGGGTGCGAAGGCACAGACTGGAGACCATCACTCATCGGTGAAAGGATGATCATTGTTTGTTTAGCCCATTCCAAAATAATGGCTCTGCTGGGAACACCAGCCCAGAATGCATCATGTCTTTTATAGTATATATTAATTTAGTGTAGACATTAGGCCATCATTATTCCCTTCTTTTAATTCTCATGTATTAGCATTCAGGATTGCTTTTAACCCAGCACACATCTTTGTTATTTCATAATGTAAAATAAATAAAGCTGGAGGCAAATGTATTTTTTTTTATGTAAAGGACTGTGAGAGAGTGATGGATATAAAGCACAGAAACGTCTGTATAATTTTAAGGCTTGAATTTCAGAACACAGCATTTTCATTAAATGGTGCAATCCATTCATTTTGGAGAGACAGATATAAACAGAAGCAAATTAACTCAGTAGTTCTCATGCCTAGAATCTTTGTGATAAAATTGCCTATTATTGTGAGTGTAAATGTTTTCAAAATATTAGAGACAACTGGAAAAAAATAGGAAAGGCAGGATAGGTTGCTCAAGGATGAAAACCATAAAGACATCCCCTCCAAACACCACGTGTACCTGCTGAAATTACTTAAAGTGAATTGCAGGAGCACTGTGAGAGGAGGAGAAAGGAGGCAGGCCATTTTTTAATATTTTTTTTTCTTTTTATGACGGATAAAGGCCTGGGAGAGTGTTTTCAAATTATTTACTTGGCTGTCTGTTGTGCATATTAGAAAATTCAGCTCCTGGCTGATTGGCCAGGCAGAGAAACGGAGGTGTCGCAAGCAAGAGGGGGGAGCTGGGGGGCTGCGCTGGGGACGACTGCTCCCTCCCCCTGCTCCCGAGGGAAGGGGAGGTTGGGGCATTTCCAGCCCTGCCTGACATCACGGGGGGAGCGCTGCGGGGTGCAGCACCCCTGTGTCACGCCTGCAGCTGAGCCCACCAGTTAGACGTGTCAGTTAAACTGGGGGTGGCCAAACCCCAGGTCCTGCCCTGGCTGCGGACAGAAGGACACCAGCCATGGGCTGAGAACCTCCTTTAGCCACAAGCCTCATTTTATATTTGATTTTTCTCAGTCGCTGGCAAGGCTGCAGCTTTCCCAGACATTAATTGCCATAACATCAGTTGCACCCAAGAGGGAAAGGAAAAAACCCAGGGTCACTTGCTGTGCTGAGCAGTTGGCGTGTGTCCTGGCTGGAAGACTAATTTCTCTTCTAATGCTTGGGAAAGCTACACTTTTAGAAGACTCTAGTGTCTGAATTTGGGAAAATACTTACTTTACAGCCAGCTCTGGGGTGCAGGTTTCAAGGTCTTGGTGTTTCTGAGCTCCCCAGATGTGAGGATGAGGAGGAAGCAAGACCTGGGCACTTGACCCAAGCTGCCCACGGGGTTATTTCATACTATGAACAGCACATTCCATATCAATTAGAAAGTTTGCTGAGGAGTTTCTCTCTCCCCCTTGATGGCTGGGATCCAGGGAACTCAGAGCCCTGAGCCCTTCCCTTCCCCCCGGAAACACGGCGCTCGCAGGGTCCCCCATGGGCTGTCCCTGCGGGGTGTCCTGTGATGGGATGGGCTGGGACAGTCCTGGTGGGTTTTATATCGGTATCGGGGCAGACAGTGGTTCTTTAGTGTTAATTATTTATCATAGAATCACAAAATGGTTAGGGTTGGAAGGGACCTCAAGTTCCAACCCCCCTGCCCCGGGCAGGGACACCTCCCGCCAGATCAGGTTGCTCAAAGCCCCGTTCCCATTTGGTCTTATCCTATTAAACCTATTTATATTTCAACCCTCGGGGTTCCTTGGTTTCCCCCCGATTCCCTTTCCTGGCTGGGGAGGGGCCATCGGGCGATGGAGTAATTGTCTGAAGGACAATAAATTGCGGTGGGTCTCTCAAAGGGTGGCAGCGTGCGGTGGGTAACCGGTCACCACGGCCAATGGCGGAGGGCAGCTTTGGCCCCAGGCCGGAGGGCCTGGCTGGCGGCACGGCAGGCCCACCACTGCCGTTAAACCGGGGGCTCCTGCCTGGGACAGCAGCCTCCGCTCTGGGCAACCGGGGGTGGGAAGCATTACCGGGCCGTGTGTGGGCTGCTGGGGACTGGGCACTGCCGTCCTGCACCACGGCAGGAGCAGACAGCACCCCAGCACTCCCCGGTACCGGGCCGGGCTCAGTGCTGTGCATCCCGGTACGGCAGGGTGGCGGGAGCGCAGAGGGCTATTGTTATAGTTAAAATAAAAAAAAAAAAAAGTCCGAAATAGATTCACTAAATATTTATTAAGGTAGGAAAGCAAAAGCAGCGCGGGGCGGCTGGGGAGTCGCAGCTCCACCAAGGCTTGCAAATTCAAGCAAGCTGAATAGCTCTTTTTATCCTCACAGAGGTCGGGTTCGACACCTTCAGTACACCCCTCTGCTTCTTGGCGGAGGAGCGCGGCCGGGGCGGCCCCCCGCGGCTGCGGTGAAGGCGGCGGCGATGCGCGGGGCTCCCGGCGAGGATGGAGGACCGGTCCCACAAGGTGCTGCTGGCGCTGGTGATGCTCTTCCTCTTCGCCGTCATCGTGCTGCAGTACGTCTGCCCGGGCACCGAGTGCCAGCTCCTGCGGCTCCGCGCCCTCAGCCCCTCCGCCGCCGCCGACCCGTACCGGGCGGAGGACGAGACGCCGGCGCGTTTCGTTCCCCGCTTCAATTTCTTGCTTAAATTGTTGGGTCAGTAAATTACAATCCGACTTTAGGCGAGTTTTACAAGTGGTGGTGGCATAGTCAGCTTGTGCCATCTCTTCCATGCATTTGGTTAGTACAAGGATAAACATTCACTTACACAGACACATTTTGATGGCATTGCAGTTTGTGTAAGTCAGGACTTTCTTACACTATGTATAACAGAAAAGGATAATCCTAAGATTTGATCAGCAACAAATCTTCAGTTATTCATTACAGCTATCAAGCAGTACCGGGCCATGCCTGGTGGCCGTGCCACCGCGGCGTCCCGGATATGGCCCCAGTGCTCGTCCCGCTCCCGCTCCCGGTCCCCGTCCCGGGGCTGGTCCCGCTCCCGGTCCCCGTCCCGCTCCCGGTCCCCGTCCCGGTGCTGGTCCCGATCCCGATCCCGTTCCCGGTCCCGGCGCGACCGGGCCACGTGCTGAGCGCCGCGCGCGCCCGCCCCGCGCTCCTGCGGCTCCGCGCCCTCAGCCCCTCCGCCGCCGCCGACCCGTACCGGGCGGAGGACGAGACGCCGGCGCGTTTCGTTCCCCGCTTCAATTTCTCCGCCGGCGACTTGCTGCGGCGGGTGGACTTCAACATCAAGGGGGACGACCTCATCGTCTTCCTGCACATCCAGAAGACGGGCGGCACCACCTTCGGCCGCCACCTGGTCCGCAACATCCAGCTGGAGCAGCCCTGCGAGTGCCGCGCCGGGCAGAAGAAGTGCACCTGCCACCGGCCCGGGAAACGGGAGACCTGGCTCTTCTCCCGCTTCTCCACCGGCTGGAGCTGCGGGCTGCACGCCGACTGGACCGAGCTCACCAACTGCGTGCCCTCGGTGGTGGACAGCAAGAAGGAGGTGCGGCTCCGGCCCTCCAGGTGAGGCCGGGCCTTCCCCCGGGGGCTGGCGGCGGCGGGGGGGCTCAGTCGGGACGGAGCACCCCGGCACGGGGAGCGGGCTGCCGGCCGGCCCGGGGGGCGAGCACCGGGGGGCAGACAAAACCCTGCAGGGTGACACGGGAACGGGCCTGGGGACAGCCCCGGCCCACGGGGGTCCCCCAGCTGCCTGCCCCCCGTCTCTCCCCGGGGCGCACACGCTGTCCCTCCCCTGTGCCCGGTCCGGGGGGTGTACCCCCTGCCACCCCGACCTCGGAACTCCAGCTCCTGGCCTTGCAAAGGACAGGTTACTCCTGTGGCTGGATGTTGGCGTTGTCCTTCAGCCCTAGCCCCGTTTACTTGGGGTTTGCACTTCGAATTTTAGTGGCAGTCGCTCTCTTCGTCCCTGCGCCTCTCTCGGGGGGTCGCTCCCCTCGCCCCCTCCCCTCCCGTAGCTGGGTGGTCGCTGCCTCTGCCCCTCGAGGGCCCGGCCGCCCCCTGCTCCCCGGCAGCCCGGAGCTGCTGGCTCTGCTCGGGGGGCTCCCTGAGCACAGCCCTGTGACGGGGGGAGCAGCTTGTCCCTGGCTGTGCCCTCAGCCGGGCCGGGCGGCAGAACAGCCCGGGCTTTGAGTGTCTTTCCACATGGTTTTGCTTGGAAATCAGAAGCGGGGGGTATCGCTCCCGTTAGACTAACGGCAGGTCCCCGCACGGCGAGGGTGCTGTTGTATATCGTGCTATCTGAAGTCAAGTCTAAGCACAGATTCACTTGAAATAGAAGGCAATTTCTTCCTAGAATTCCTTTTATATAGCATGACACTACACTGCCATCTAGTAGAAAAATGGTTAGCGTCGTTATCTTCCTGCGCCCGAGAAGCAGCTCTTTATGAGACTTGGCTATTGTGAGCCCTGCTCTTTTGTTTTCCCCTACTACTTTAAAATTTAATTGTCTGGGTTTTGTGACATCCCGTTTGCAAACATCAGGAACCGATTCCTTGCCCTCTGGGTCTCTCAGCTTCCCGGGTGCAGGGTGCTGAGCCTTGCGGGCTGCCTGGTTTATTTTACCTGTCCTGTAAATATGTTGTTTGTCAGCAGAAATGGAAATTGCATAAGGTGCACCTTCTTTTGCCTAACAGATTCCAGCGATGTGTCTTGCTCTTCCCCCAGAGATGGGTCTGGCCTGCAGAGCTGTAGCTGTGGGGCGGGCATTCCCTTCGTTCTCCAGAGGCAGGTCGGGGTTAGTCGTGCCCTCTGGAAAACGGGGATTGTCCTTCTCCTGAACCCACCACCTTGGAGAGCTGAGACTTGTCTGTAGCTTTTAGCTTTGTGGTTTTGTTTGTTTTTTTTTTTTTTTTTTTCCCTGTTGGATTACCGAATGGGCTTTTCTGACTCAAAACAGAAGTGCTTCATGCACCTGCCCAAGAGTTCAGAGCGATGGTTCCTCGTCCAGCAATCCACGTTCATAGCTGACTTCTGAGAGGTCGCTCGGGCTTGTGACTTGGGATTGAAGCCAGGAGAGAGGGATGACAATGAAGCTGGGATGATTTTGTGTTAGGTAGAGGTCTACTCTTACAAAGAATTTGAAATGATGTTATAGGTTTAATAGCCAAATTACACAGCTGGCTTAATAGCTACAGTTCTTATCCCAAATAATGTCTTGCATTTATAATCGAGGTGATTCAAAAGTGAGACCTGCTGTAAGAGGGATTTGAGCTGCTTGGCAGCTGTGTAATGCAGTCTGTAGTGACTGTCTTTGTGCTGTGTAGCCTTGTCTGGGAACAGCCAAATGAGTGGTTGTTGTTCCAGCAAACTTTTTAGCTTGCCCTCCGTGGGATACCCTGTGCAGAGGTCTGCCTTGGGAGGGATGTGGAGAGTCTCCGGGTCAGATCGCTGGGTAGCGGGGCTGTTCTATAGAGGCCTTTTCTTCTGTTTAAAAGTAGTGCCTTTGTTAGTCTGGAGGATTCCCTGTCCTGGACCTCAGCAACCAGGTACAGAGCATCCCCCTGATACGATCTGATGGGATCAGCCTGAGGGCTGTGCCCACGAAGGACCTTGTTGCCTGCAGCATTCATCCTCCAGCCTCTGCTCTTAATCCCATCGCTAGTCCGCCTCTAGTTCCTTTGGGAATTGTTGGTTTGGAGGGCACGTTTCCTGCAGAAATACTCAGGATGGGTGTTGTGACTGGTTGGTTGGTTTGGATTTAACACAATGGTTCTTTTCTGTCTATGAACATGTAGGTTCCCAAAACTTGCATTGCTTTGCGGTGGTGGCCTGTGCTCCGCAGTAAGTAGCTAAATAGACCTCCCACTCCTCCTTTGGTCCTTCCTTCCCCTAGAGGAACATGAATGGGTTTGGGGATTACTTCTTCCTCCGTGGGTCCCATTGGGGTGTGCTCCTGTTCCTGCTTGTTCCACCAGCGCTGCTCACACTGGGGCACGGGGAGATGTTGGGAGGGGGAAGGGGAAGGTGCAGGCAGAGCTGATGCTTTGAGCTGTGGATTTGCTGCTGAGGAGGTTGGTGGAACAGGCTGATGGTGGTGGCGGAAAGGAGGGGGTTGTCTCTGCCGCTTGGCATCAGCGGTGAGAAAGGAGAAAATGTGCCTTTTCCCAGTCATGAGTGACGGACTTGGGTCACTTGATTGATTGTGGAAGCCTCAAAGCTTTTGGCACACTGAATGGGGGCAGCATCCAAAGTAACCATGCGTGAGAGCATCGCAGAACTGAGATTTCACTCAGCACTGGCTAATTGTTATGGGAAGTATCTACCGAACTTGTCTATAGCAATAAATCCAAAAGGCTCCATTGCAAGAAACAAAAAGCTTTGGGATTAAACTGGAAAATGTAATGAGACATGGGAGCAAATACGGATCCCTTGTCGGGTGAGAGACATGGCTGTGGGTTAAAGGTTGGGCTGTATTTGGTGTCCCTCCTGGCTAGCATTAAAGCAGTTCTCCATTGAGAGGAGAACAAGCTTGCAGAGCTGCCTCTGGAGACAGAAAGTCTGAGATCAGAAGAAATGTTACAGTGCTGGTACAAGCCTGTTGGACCAGGACCAGGGATGGTGCCTTCTGGCACCACAAGGTTGTGATGTGGGACAGAAGCCCCTGGCAATGCATGGATTTTCTTGTCTTGTCCCCACAGGTTAATTAAAGTCTCCTAAGTTAAGTCTTACGAAAATCTAAAGAAAAGATGCGTTAAAACATTTCCCAGCAAACTGGAAGTGTTTATTGTGTGTGTCTCCATTGGCTGAACAGACGAATCCTCATGCTCTTGGAAACGTGGTGGGATTTGTATCTGCAAATCCCCTCCGCAGTGTGGTCCATCGTGGTGTGCCCGACTCCTCGCCAGCTGGAGGGCTGGCAGAGCTGTGGGCAGAAGGCAACTTGGCCACAGCAAGTGTTGCCATCAGCCCTGGCGTGAGCTCGGGTCCCACTGGAGCTGGTGGGTTTTCCCAGTAAACTGGAAATATGGAGGGGGAAAACCACATGGTTGGGGGGATTGCTGTGCAGGGAGATGCCTGCTCAACGGCAGGGAAATATGGAGGGGGGAAAACCACGTGGTTGGGGGGATTGCTGTGCAGGGAGATGCCCGCTCAATGGCAGCTGCTGTTGGAACAGTGAAGGTGGTGTATGGCTGTGTAAGGGGACAAGCTCTGTTGTTTCTCCTCTAGTGGTGGAATTTGGGGGATGGCTAAGCCCTGTAATGGGGCACTAGTCTCCTTGTAGGCAGAGGAGATGCTGTAGAGTCGCACAGTGCCCCAAGGCTTGGGGTGGATAATAAAGGCTTTGGCAGGAGGTGGACGGCTTAAAACCTCTGGATGCTGATGCAGCAGACTCTGCTCTCAAGGATGAGATCCCCCAGTGCTGCCACTTTGGGGGTGAAGCCTGACGGGGTGGGGGGCAGCTCGGAGGGAGAAGGGGAGCAGGAGGGCTGAGCTGGAGGCTGTGGGCGAGCAGATGGGGGGGACCTGCTGTCACTTGGGCCCTGGCCAGAGCAGCGGGAGGGTGCCCGCCTGCCCTTGAGATACACACTGGGGAAACTCCCCAGGAAAAACTCTGCAATGATTATAAAGCCAAAAAAAAGAGCATTTGCAGAGATGTTGCCAGGCCCGAGTGGCTGCTTCGTTTATCAGCAGGATTTCCTAATGACCCTGCTCGTTTGGGTGCGGCGGTGGGATGAGGGGAATATTACCTGCAGTGGTGGAATTTCCCCACCTGGCACCCGCTGGGGGTGAGGCTGGGTCTGGTTCGGGGGCGTTGGAAGCAGTGGGACAGCCTGCAGAACGAAAAAGGGGCTTTTGAGGGGAAGGGCAGGGGATTATTTTCATAAATGCGAGTAGTTCCTTCACCTAATCCCATTACAGGGCCTGACCTCGAAGGTCCTGGCTGCAAACTTAAGTTCGTGTGTGTTTTGAGTTCGGACTGTTGGACTGGCAAAGCTCTCTAAATTGATATCACTGGTTTTGCAGATAAAGTGTTGGACTTCTTAAAGGGATTAAAAAAAAATAATTTTCCGTATTAGGTCTCTTCAGCTTGCCTCTAAATCTTTAATAAAATGCAAATTGACTGTTAGTTATTTAAAAATATATGTATCCTACTGCCTTTTCTTTTAAATTCAGAGAATTATTTTTTTTTTGTGGGTAGAGAGATGATGTTAGCTGTTGCAAGAAAAAATTCCAGTGATAGCAGTAGAGCAAGAATTCCTTGCTCTATTTATTGCATTTGTTGTCAGGGTTGGTCTTCCCTAAAGAAAAGAATGGGAATATGAACACTGAGGCACAGTGCCATTGTACTAAGACACGATTACTTTTTCTTGAAAAGGTGCCTTTCTGCTATTTTTTTTCTGGGAATTAATAAATATTAAGACGACACTATAAATACACACGTTAACTGTATTAAAATAGACACAGATTGTTCCCTATGATTCCTCTTCATAACTTTATAACCTTTAATAAAGGTTATCAAAGGTGCTTGGAAGTCAGGCATCACCAGTAGGTTATTTATTTTT